TTTTTTTTTTAATTGGAAGTTATAGTGAGATGAAGCATTTCAAACTAACAGATATCTATTTTGCATAGTTTTGTTTTGAAATTAAGTAGAAATGATGAAATGAAAATTGTTGGTTGGTAGATGCGTGAAAAACTACCATAATCAATTTGCAAATAATTAATTACATCATTTGTGGTTGGATGAAAAATATCCTTATGTTTTTTTAAAATTTCATTTCTAAAATGGATTCTTTGAAAAAAAGAGTGAACAATTAAAAAATGAATTATTTGTAGAAGAAAAAAAAAGAAAGGAAACTAGTAGACCTTTTTTCTTCTTATCAATAATTTGTTCATTTAAATAACTGAAATTTTTCAAATTAATAAATTTTTTTTTCTCTTTATAAGGAAAAAACTACAATAGAATGGGACATTATATGCTAATTATAATTGCAAATAAATTACATTTTACTCTATTCTTAGCTTCAAGAGATTTAAAAAAAAACCATTAATCATTGATTCATTTCGTTAAAAATTGAATACTTTCAAAAATTGTTTTCTTTTAATTTCTGATTAATCTGTCGTTTACGTAGAATTCATTTATTTTTAATTAAATTTTTCCATATTATTAGCACTACAAAAGTAGTCAAATCATTTGTCACTTTGATTGGTAATAAGTGTTTTTTTTAACATTATTAATAATTACTAGTTGATAAAATTAAACCATTATTTTGAAACTTAAATTACAAAAATTACTGCTGCTTCATTTTGAATTTTTTAACTTAAAATTTCTTGACTTTTAACAGGAGTTTTATTATTGGGAAGCAAAGAATTGTTCATGTTCTTAACTTATCACAAAAATAGTAAATTTATAACAATTTATTTCATCTGAAATTTTTTCACTATTTCAGTTTATTCCTCTCAAACACTTTATCGAATAACAAATATACTGAAATAATTACCAATAAAGTCACAAATTATCAATAAAATGTTGCAAAAATATAATGTATGTGATGCATTGATAACGTTTGTTTCACAATGGAATTTTTTTCGATGATAGCGATTTATTGAAATTTCACTCTTCGATGGCATCTCGTGAATGATACGACATCTAAACATTACACTAATAATAAAGTATTATTGATTTAATTATGAGATAATTTTGATTAAATAATTGTAAAAAGTAAAATAAATAGTATGTAATATATGAAGCAGCAATTGTTTGTATGTCTTTTTTTTTCTTTATTCCCATTAAAATATTTTCTTGCAAAATTACATTTAATATTAAGAACAATTAATTATCTTTTTTTAGTATTTATGATTAGTAAAATGGTAAACAAAATTGAAATGAAAAGTTACTTATTTTGAATTTGTATTTTCTACAATTTATAATTTGCGTTAATTTATAGTTCAAAGTTTTGTTCATTTGTAATTTATATTTTTTCCCAATTTACAATGTCATAAAAATAATTAAGCAATTGAAAAATTTTCTAATTACTTGTTTAATGAATAAATTAATTTAACTTATTTACCAAATATTCAGTTATCAAACAATTGCAAATGAATGACAAGCTATTTTGGCTTATTGCAGTATTTAGCATTTTTGTTTATGTATATGCATTAATATATATTTTGTTCTGAACAATATGTATGTGTAAATTTTTAGATTTTAATTTCTCCTCTTTTGATATTTTTAAAAGTTTAAAATTAACATTACAACATCAGTTAACTATCCTTTTTTTGGAAAAAAAATGAAAATGTTTAATTTTTAAAAATATAAGTAACCTTGTACGAAGCTTAATTTTAATATCTGTATTATATGGTTGAAGAGATGCTGTCGATCGGGTGGGGATAATTTCAGAAATTTCTGTCGATGTCTTTGTTATCATTTCTGATGATAATGGATCACAGGTTCGAGCTCCTAAAAAGAATCCATTTACTGTATATTTTAAATAAACTGTAAATATAATTTCAAAATTTTAGCTAACATGGATAATTGAATGAAATGATTGAAAATAATGAATTAATAAATGATACCTCTCTGAAGGAAACAACAGCATATCTGATAATCATCACCGTAGAAGCAATGATTACCATTCGATGGTTGATCATTTATCAGCAAACAGTATCGATATATTTCATCGTTGAAGTGACGATAAACACAGTGATATTCAATGGTATACTTCATCATATACTTATCATTCATTGGCTAAAATAAATAAATTTTAATTTTGTGCCATATTGATCAAAATATCACCTGTAATAGAAATGATGTAAACTAGGGTATATTATCATATCAATACATCAATGAAATTAGATCATTTTGAAGAATTTCAATTCAAATCATTTAAAAATTTTATTATTTCAAACAAAATTATAAAACTTATAATTTTCGTTTCTTTTTTCTTTCTCATTTATTTCAAATAAATTTTAAAATAATGCATAGCTGTGATGGAAGCATTGTATATTCGTCATAAGTGATATGCACGGGTTGTACAATGATAACATCATCTTCATTTTCTATTGGTTGTTGTGTTCGATTGAATTTCGAATAAGTGAGACATCCGATTGGAGCACCTCGACAGTGAACATTATTGCAGGTGACAGGTTGAGAAGGTGCTAATGTAGCTGCAAACAGTAAACAAGAAGATTATTTGTTTCCATTACAAAAATATTATTCTTTTCATTTAATTTTTAAAAAAATTTAAAGTTAATCAATTGAAAGATAATAATATTAATCAATTTTTTGCTCAAATTTATTTGAAAAAAAGTATAAAAAGAATAATGTTAAAATAAATGAAAATTTAATTGTATAAAAATTTCAAAAATTTCCCAAATAATCCATATTTGCTTTAATTTATTGTTTAACAGAGGGAATTTATTAGAAAGTAAAAAGGTATGAATAAGTTTTTATCTTTTTAAAAAAAAAAAAATTATTTACAGAAAAAAAAGAAACTTACGAAGAACGTGATCACCGGAATGTATAATTTTCTGGAGGAGATGATCATTGATAGCACAACAAAATTTTATTCTCTTTGTTAATAATCGTTGTAATTTATCATCATCCCATCTATTTGAATATCTATCGTCAACTCGTTTAATTAAATACTGAATAAATTTTGGATTGAATGAGGAAAGCATTATTTCTCGACAACGTGCCTGATCATCGCAATATTTCGAAAATAGTAACTAAAATAAATTTTAGTAATTATATCATGTGTAAGTTTTAAATCTCAAATTAATATTTTTTGTTATCTAAACGTACAATTTTAATTGAAATTTTAGTAATTTATTTTTTATAAAGGATTACTTCTTTCTATTTTTTCTTATTTTCAGGAATGCACAGATATTCTATAGCAAAATCAAATCATAATTAATAATTTTACTTTGAAACATAAAGTCTTTGAATTTTTTTAAATTTCTCTTTCATATTTTCAATTAACAGTATTAATTTATTGTTTACATAATCGACTGGTATTGCTCAAAAATTACGATATTTGCGATGATTGCATTAAGGGAGAATGTTTACAGAAAGCATTATGTTGTATTTTAATTCCAATTATTAGTATCAATTTGTTATCTTGTCATTTTTCAATTTTTTGATTCCTTATAAAACCGAACACTTTTTTATTTTTATTATTGTATTTTTTTAAACGCATAATACAGCATGAATGTATTGTGCAAAAAATGATAAATTGAAGAAAAAGATTTTCCTGAAAATTAAACGTGCAATTCTCAGACCTGTTTTATCTCATCATTATCATCATTATCGGGCATGAGAATACTGGAATCGATACATTCATAGATTCCTAACGGTTCTTCCCTATTTTCCGTCAATAATATTTTTTCAAATTCAAAATAACCACAGGAAGTGCTGGATGACGGACATAAAGAGGGAACACGAGTCTCCGGAATGTGTGATTGACCATTCCGACAGTAAAGCTGAAATAAAGTGATTTGTTAGTTGGGTTCCGTAAACCGATATTCTGGATGAATCTTATAGTAATCATTTTTAATTAAGATAATATTATCTGCTGGTATGCTTGGTTCAAATCACTAATTTCTGCTTTCCGAATAACAATCTTACTTTATTTTCCAAATAACAACCTTACCTTATCATTCACAATCTTACTTAATAATTATTTGATGCAAAAGTTTTAAAAATTTTTTCATCCGTAACACTTTTTTTTTCCGTCATCAATTTTAATCCTGGCGCCTGTCAATAAAACATTTTAATGTCAAATGTGATAAGTACAAGTTTAAAATTTGTTAATCGGATTTTGATTAATTATGACAGTATTTATTGTGCTATAATAATATAGCACAATAAATACTGTCATGATTAATTCTAAAAGTTTCAGATAACGCATTCTTAATTACTGTCATTAAAACAAAAGATAAAAATCTCTTCTTGATCATCCTTTTTCTTTTCTTCTCTTCCTCTCTCTCTCTTTCTCCTTCATAACTATTAAACTTTCCTTCCATTAATATTATCGATCTCTTATAATATTTTTTTTATTGATAATCTTTACTTACTGATTAAAATCACAATTATTTCTTCTTCCAAATATTCCTTAAATTTGCTGTCTTTCAAAATATAATTATCATTTCTTCTATTCCGTAACTTTTTATTCATTATCTTTCAATTCTTATCAATCTGTAATTCGCTCCAAAATAACACAATTTTCTAATCATCTGACATGGCACTATCATCTAATTATTTGATATGAGCAAGTTATTCAACTAAAAATAATGAAATAATTTGCATCGATAATAGCTTCTTTCAACGAAGATAAGCAATTCTTTTAATCCGTTCAATTTCATAATTTTAAAATTTTCAATCCGTTCAAATAACATCAAAATGCAATTAAATGTATTAAAAACTTTTAAAAAATCGATATAAAAGTTAAAAATAATTTCATGAAAACTATGCTCCTTGAGCAATCAAAATAGAAAATTTAAAATTTAAAATCACTTATATACACATATACAATTTAGATTGTATAATATTGAATGTTTAAATAAGTAGCAAATTTTCTCAGGAAAAAATAATTAATTATTCATTGGTATTGCTTAGTAACTAAGCATTCCTTTCACCAAAAAAAAAAGGAAAGAATGGAACAGATGCTCAACAATTTACAACAACAACAAGACGAAAAATAGGAATTGATAATTATCGTGAAAGGAAATGCTTCAACAAATGCTTCCAATCATTTGTAATTCAAATATTACAGCAAAAATTTGTGCAAAAGAAAAAGAATTTTCATTTTTCTCTTTTTTATTTCAAGAAAAGTTATTAAACGAAAAAATTGCATATCTTTATAGTAATTTATTTAAAAATTAACGTTTTTGATTTAAAGTAAACATGAAATGTTTTATGTATTTTAAAAAATATTTTAAGCATAATAATAAAGTAAGAAGGATTATTTGTTAAAATATTGCTAATTTAATAAGAATGTATGAATTTCATTTCATTCATTTTTTTTTTCAGCTATTCAACAATTCTTATGAATGCTATTAATAAAAATCAATAATTGAAGTAATTAACATTTTTAAATTAATCACCTTTAAATTATACGATGCCAATGGTATACTGCTGGAACATTTTCCATGCCAAACGATTGATACAACAGTTAAGCAAACCAAAATAATCATTCGCATAATTTAATTGCATCCAGCATTAATCTATTCTATAATTAATTATTGATACTGCAAGTGAGATATATAAAGATGTTATATATGACATATGGTATAAGTGTGCCAAAGTGGAATAACAAAGAAAAAAGGAAAAGCTAGAGAAAAGAATGATAATTTTTAATTGCATGTACATCACAAGTTGATCAATATAAATTAGAAGAAATGATTTAGTTGTTATGTCGCTTAAATGAATTTTGCAAAATGGCAAGCTATTTGTAATAATAGCTTATTCTTAAAATGCATTAAATTGTAATAATTTCCACTGAAGATGAAACTTGCATTCTTCTTGCATTCAGGGAATAATAAGAAATTAGTCAGAATTTGTTTGTTTTTGCTTCAAAAAATAACTAAATTAGTCAAAAAATCACAAAAAAATTTTAATTTCTCCAATAAATTTCACAATAATAATGCCTTTGATATAAAAAATTTTGATAAAAAATTTTCTGCTAATTTTTATCAAAAATTAACATGTAAAATTTCATTTATCACTTGATAAAATGCAGTGAAGAAAAAAATGAGAAATCTTAACAAAATTATTAATTAATAAGTATAAGCGATTAAAACGAATAAATGTATGACAAAAAAAAAAAGAAGAAAAATTAATTCAAACAACAACAACAACAACAAAAAAACCTTAAAAATTATGTTCTTCTATTTTGAAACAATTTTTCCACTGAAAAATTTTTCCAGTCTTATCTTCCGTAAATATTATCCGAAACTTTTATAATTCAATTTTTTTTTAAAAGCAAAAAAATTCACTCATTTCAAAATTAATGTTTCAAATAACTTTTATGATATGTAACAAAATGAAAAAAAAAATTAAAAAAGAACAAAATGAAATAAATGATGAAAAAGATATGAAATTAAATTTTATGAGTGCAATTCTTCTATACTTTCTAACATTTCAGCGCAATCGTTAATGTTAATTTGTGATAAAATTTGCAGAAGAAATATAAGGAGGAATAAAAAGGAAGGAAAATGATCGATCGAATACGATGGCTGATTGTGTGAGCGCAGATTATAGCGGGATAAATTTATGCTGACGTAAAGCTAACTAGCAAATAAATTTTTCAAATAAATTAAACTAAATTGGAGCATTTGAATTTTTATGGGATATTTTACTGTTTAACATAATAAACAATTTTTTCACTTACTTATTTTTATTTTACTAATTAAATTTGGTTTCATGCACTGACAAAATTCTCCTTTACAAAATGTAACAAAAATTTCTAATATTCTTTTACAATTTTCAAATATTCTTTTTATAAAATCTTTCACCAATTTTAAAAAGATTAACTGACTGGGCGGCAAAAATTTTTAAACTGTAAACAATTGATAGTGTTTAAAGCTAACAATTTTTTTTTTTCATTGTTGAAGAAGTTGAAATTTTGTTTCACTTTTTCATCATCAAAAAAGTGAAGGGAGTTGAAAAAGTGAAAAAAAGAAGAAAATAAATCGGTTAGAATGTTTGGAAAGAGTGAAAACACGTTTCCATTTATTTTCATTTGTAAAATGAAAAAGAAAAAAAAAACTATCATTTGTAAGTGAACAGGAGAAATTGAAGCAAAATGATATGAGAGAGGTATTGGATAAATAAATTTAATATTAATTACTTTCACTGTTGAATAGTTAATGAATAATTTTGTAGAATATTCAATGCCAAATAGAAGTCACATATAATTAAAAAATGAACAATAACACAGTGTGATAAAAAATAATCGGCAAATTTAAATGATGATACTAATTCATTTAATGAGCAAACTTAACGGATATTGATGAGATCAGTTATACTAATTACCATTTATCGTTTAATTACAAACAATCAATAAGATTATAAGTAATATTATAAATAATTCATAAGATTTTTATTTCCATTAATTTCCTATTTTAATATGAAATCATTTATTTCACGTTGAAATATAATTACTACGTTAAAATTTTGCACTAAATAATTCTTTAGACGTTATTAATTTCTTTTTTCTAAAAAGAATGATTTTTTTTTAAGAAATTTATCTAAATTCTATTTTTTACTTTAAGCAAAGAACAATGAATGTGATAATATTATAATTTTAAATCCATTATACCAACGTACCTTTGAAATTGTTTACTATCGTTGCAAGTCAATTAATTTTAAAATTTAAACAAATGCTTCATTTCCAGAAAGCCTTAATAAAAAAAACCGGAAGTTCCGGTATATTTGAATTAATTGCTTCCGATTTCTTTCAATTATTCATATCATTCATTAAAAAAAATGATTTGATATGCTGCATACTATGAACATTTCTCGTACTTAGCACTTTTGGAAAAATACGAAAATTTTAGTAAATGAGAACAAAGCTAAAACTGCATGAGACTTAATTATCAGCTAAATTTCATAATTAATTAAATAATAAATTTATTTATTAGCCAAATTCTATAATTAGTTCAATTATTTTACTTATTAAAAAAGAGCTGCTAATCAGTAACTGTTCTTGGCATTTTTTATCTCATTAGAAATGATATGATGATGATATATAATGTAAGTAATATATTGAATTATTAGTGAAAAATTACAACCAGTAATATCATTGATAAAATGATATCATCATTATTAACGAAGCTATTCCAGTGATTTGATTAGAATAAACTAGCAAAATAAGCATTTTTCATTCATAATTATTCTCTACGACATTATCGCTTTTCTATATATTATATTTTTTTGTTTATCTGCAAATAATAATTAAAATGAGAATGTTAAACATGCAATGGTATTACAAATCACATAGTTCAGAGAATGAAATATACTTATATTTATGGATTCATTTAGAAAGGATGTTTTTGTAGCAGATTATATTTCATTTTAAGTAAAATTTGATAGAAGTTTTCATTTCAAGTAAAATTCGATGATATAAATTATTTTGTTTCAAAAAACCAATTCAAATATGTGTAATTTTGAAAAAGTCCATCACATGGTTAGCAAAAAAGAACGAAACTTAAAAGTAACTCAATTTTAATTTTGTCTAAAATTTGACAATAAATGGGTTCATTCCGGAAGTATATCTTTCATCGTCACGCCACACGCCATCATTTCGTCACATAAACTTTCTAATTTTTATTTGTCATTTATGTAAATGAATGCAGTAAATAATTTTCTGAAATACTGTATTATTGCAATGCAACAACACAATATTTCATTCATTCATTTATGATTAAATTATTAAATTTGCAAGAATTATTCTTATCATTTCACAATTCTTTTTATTTGCATCATTTTTTCCTTTTCAGTAATCGAAAATTTAACAAAATGGTTAAATGTTGAAGTAAATGGTTGTCACAATGCTATCAGCAATATCGATAATCATGATGATATTATTGTAAAAAGTGTTAAAAAAATTTCCGAAAATAAAATATTTTAATCTTTTTAGGAAAGTTATCATATAACAAATGGATATCGTTAAGTTTCATTTAACATATCATCAAATCAAACAGTTATATTGCCGATTTTGAAGTAATCCGTTAATCTGTATGGTGAAAATATTTCATTGTTAAAAATTAACGCTTCTTTACAGTGAACAATTTTTTCGATAGTATGCGATAAATAGAAAAATTATATAACACTTCAGAATAAATTTTAACAGTTTAAATGACTGATACAAATAAAATAGTATTGGTTTAGTTGTATCATTTTATTAAACAAAGAATGGAAATAGTTTAGGCTTAAAATGATATGTTCGTTTTTTTATTGTTGATAAATTCAGAATATTTGCCATTTTTCTTACCTGCTAAAATTCCTCCTTTTCATATATTCCTTCTGTCGTAAATAAATATGTAAATAATTTAAAAAATTAAAAAAAAAATGAACAATCTTATAAGGATTATTGAATTGAAATTGCTTTAGAAATAACTGAACAAAGAATGCAACGATCGGATAAAAACAAATATAATTTACTTTACAAACAATACTTGAAAGATTTTTATTTAAAGGTATATTTCTGTTGAATTTTTTTGGTGAATTTTTTTTTTTTTTTGTAGAAAGAAATTATTTCCGATCAAATTCTTTCTTCTTCAAGGAAATCATCAATCAGGATTATATTTCGAATATAGTATTATCGTATTTGATTATCGTATTCATGAGATGAGTAAATGATAGGTGTTAAAAAAGAAAAAAATTTTTTTTTTATATAATTCGGCACTCAAATATCGGTACTTATCAATGATATTATCAATGATAATTAATGAGGAGGACAGATGTTTGAATGCTGAAAAAATAACGGGATGAGCAAATTATAGGTAATAGATAAGCGTCTTCATTAAACAAACATATAATATGAATGATATATAGCGTATCAGATTATCTGTATTAGATTAGCTGGTTGTTAACATATGATAACTTCTAACTATTATGTTAACTTTGAAAATATATCAGTTAGTATATTGCGATATATAATTGAATCGTAGTAAAAACAATCGAATAACAAATTGCATATTATCATATCCTCTTATTCTCTTATTGTAAATGATGATGAACATCTTTTCAATTTAATTTAATTAAAATTTTTGAATTTATAAATAGATTCACAAATGATATGTAAAACTTTTCTCTAATTTCTTCTCAGTATTTATTGTTTTATATGGTATTACTTGTTCATAAAGTAATGAACAACTTATTGATAGAATTATGTATATTTTATATTTCATTGATAATAGATTTTAAAAAAAAACCAGTAAATATATGCAGATTATATTATAATATGACAGTCCCTTTTTTTAATCTTATTCTATACAAAAAATATATTTTA